CAGAGCCGTGATGTCTTCTGGGAACCTCTGGTTGATGAGTGCCATGGTGTCTGCAACTGGGACCATGGTAAATAGAGACACCACATCGAAGATGATCAGTTTGTCATTTGTATTTAGCTTGAGATTGCTGATTTTTTCAATGAAGTGGGCTGAGTCTAAAATTGCAACAGCAAAAACAGCAGGGAGAAAAACAGGCAGGGACATCTAATCACCCTTCAAGAAGAGTTTTCTCCAGGCACAGTCAGCCCATTGTATGCTAATCAAGGTGGTCAGTTGAAAGATTCACACCTAGCCCAACTTACAAAAGCCTTTTGTCTCACCCTGGTCATTCCACAGATATATAAACCCCTTTTTTCCCAGCTCCAGCAGACCTCACCTCTGAGGAAGCTTGCCATAGATGCAGGCGAAACGTCAGGAGAAATGCCTCTAGAACATGGCCATATAGCCCGAAAAACCCCACAAGAACATTACATTAATGCTTGTGAATATCACTTGTTCAGAGTTGACTTCTAATAAAGTCATGCTTTTCTTCACTAGTGGTTTTCAAAAGGTGGTCTCCACATGTTCATGGAGATTCACATTTGCCAAACGGATGTGACATCATTTTTGCCTGTTCGATAAGGTTATGGTGCACTTATTTCCAATAGGTTATGGAATTTCCAATATATAATATGTTAAACCAGTGTCCTCAGATTTGGATCACTAGATGATGCTGGATAAAAATTCTGAGATGTTTTAATGTTGAGTGCTTCTGGGAGCTGCAGTCTTTGGGGAGAGGGAGAAGGTATAAGTTTAGGAAACATTGCTTCCATCTTTAATATGGCCTGCTTGATGGTAGGACAGACTATCTGCACAATCAAGTTGTCCAGCAAAAAAGATCAATTTCCATAAGAGAACAGCAAACTTAAAAGTTGGTGCCTATCCTGTAAAAGGAAAGACAGAGGAAATGCAGTGGAGGCCCCATCAACATATGAAATTCAGGTTATCTGCTTTGAACTAGATTATATGGCAGTGTTCATCCAGCCTGAGAATAGGGTGTGCATTTTTGGGTTCCCCATCCTCATTCCTGTCCTCCCTTCCCTAGCCAACCGGGACATGGCATCCATCGTGTCTGAGATCATGATGTACGTCCTCATTGTAGTCCTGACTATCTGGCTGGTGGCAGAGATGGTGTACTGCTACAAGAAGATTGCTGCAGCAACGGAGGCAGCAGCGCAGGAGAATGCGTAAGATGTGGGGGCAGGATGGGAGCAGGCCACCGGGGTGTCAATTCAGGGAGCACAAGCCACCAAGAGGTTCAAAAGGAAGGGAAGAGGAGCAGCAATTTCAGTTTCTTTGTCCACTCCTGACATCAGTAGACCTGCCATTCAACAAAAGTTGGCAACACTGCAGTCTAACCTGATTGATCATACATTGCCTGCCATTTTAAATTCGGAGACTGCCTCAATGTAGGTGTGAGCAATATATGGACTGCAAGTAGCATGTCATCTATTCCATCTATTCATCTGATGTGACCACTATAGCCCCGCCATCCAAAGATGTCAGGATGCTGCTAAATATTGGCAGCAGAGAAATATTGTTTCAAAAACTCTGTTTTTGTACTAAAACAATGTACACATGAAATGCATGCTTTGTTTTATGGGGGAAATGTGTTTTCAGAATCTATGGGCAGCACATTTCTCAATCCAGGCATTTGTTATTTATTTATTTTTATGACATTTATATCTCACCCTTCTCACTTCAAAGAGGACTCAGGGCGGCTTACATGAGTGCTATTATTCCATGCCTGAACAACAGCAATTAAAAGCAATCAAACCACAATTTAAAGCAACATATATAAACATTAGATGATTATTGTGGATATTTCCAAAGCCAGATAATCAGATAATCATATTCATCAATCCAAAGCCAATTCCAATTGTATTGCACAATTCCAATTGTATTGCTGGGCCAAATGCTTGCTCCCAAAGCCAAGTATTTAGCCCAGGTATGGGGAAACCCAGGCCCAGGGGTAAGATGTGGCCCCTTGGGGTCTTTTTTCAGGCCCTCCTCTCTCTTGCCACCCTATCCTTCCTTCTCTCTTTCCTTACTCCTTCCCTTCTTTCCTTACCCCCTCCTTTCTCTTTCCCTACTCCCCCTTCCTTCCTTCCTTCCTTCCTTCCTTCCTTCCTTCCTTCCTTCCTTCCTTCCCGCTTTCCTCCCTCCCTCCCTTTTGTTTAGCTGGGCTAAGAGATGGTAACACAACAAAAACAATTACAAGTGGCAACACAAAGAATATGTAGACACAGAAAAGAAAACAAACCAAGACACAAACCTACTCGCTAAAACGTAGTTTGATACATAGCTTAGAAACAATTTAATTAAAATTGTACTTGTGTAATCCATTAACTGTTTAAGCAATGATACAAACTTTCATTGTTTTACTCTAAATGTCAACAACAAGCGTTTTCTAAGTAACCCTTTTTTGGTTAATTTTATTTGTTACTTTGGGGAGTAACAAATAAAATAGCCTTTGGGTTATTTGTAACCATCTTCTACTGGTCTTAAAAATATTTAACATATTAGTAGTAAATGCAGTGTTGATGACATAGTGTTCAAAAAGTATTGAAAATTATTATTTTCCCCCACAATATTAATGACATTTTCAAGCTAGTATTTTCAAACTCCAGCTAGGCATAGTGGGAAGAGATGGGACTTAAAGGCCAGAATCAAGTTTGTTATATTTGGGGTGAAGCTGGTCAGTTCAGAGCTCACTTGTCACCTGTTTCCATTTTTCTCTGTGTCCACAGCTCCGAGTACTTGGCCATCACATCAGAAAGTAAAGAAAACTGCACAGGGGTGCAAGTAGCTGAATAGTCCATGCAGGGCTGTCGGCAGGCACAGAGATTCCTGGTTGACAGGTATTATTGTTGCTGTTCTTATTTGCAGAGTGCAACATAAGCAGAAGATATCCCTCTTCCTCATAAGTTTTCCAGTCAAAATTTAGAAAGTGGGAAGAGGACAAGAGTGGGGATGAAAATCTGGGAGAGACCAAGGAATTCAGAAAGGAGATTTTTTTTATTTATTGTGCCAGAAGCAAATTGAGGGTACAATTGTAATGTATTTAAAAACACAAACAAAATTAAAAACTTGACATTATACTAAACATCCTTTGGCCAGTAGCTGGCTACTTGGAGTGCCTCTGGTGTTGCTATAAGAAGGTCCTCCATTGTGCATGTGGGAGGGCTCAGATTGCATTGTAATAGGTGGTCTGTGGTTTGCTCTTCTCCACACTCGCATAGACTCTACTTTGTGGCCCTATTTCTTAAGGTTGGCTCTGCATCTCTTCGTGCCAGAGTGCAGTCTGTTCAGCACCTTCTAAGTCACCCAGTCTTCTGTGTGCCAAGGGGGGAGTCTCTAATTTGGTATCAGCCATGAATTGAGGTTCCTGGTTTTAGCATGCCACTTTTGGACTCTCGCTTGCTGAGGTGTTCCTGCAAGTATTTCTGTAGATCTTAGGAAGCTATTTCTTGATTTAAGGTATTGGCGTGCTAGCTGATATCTGAATAAAAGATTGGTCGGAGATGTCACTGCCTTGGTCTTTTCATTATGGGCTGCTACTTCCTGGTGGATGTCAGGTGGTGCAATACCGCCTAAACAGAATAATTTCTCTAGTGGTGTTGGGCATAGACATCCTGTGATAGTGCGGCATGTCTCATTAAGAGCCACATACACTGTTTTAACGTGGTTAGATGTGTTCCACACTGGGTATGCATATTCAGCAGCAGAGTAGCAAAGCGCAAGATATCTTCACTGTGTCTGGTTGTGATCCCCAGGTTGTGGCAGTCAGCTTTCGTACAATATTATTTCTGTGTATTCTCGAAGGCTTTCATGGCTGGAATCACTAGGTTCTTGTGGGTTTTTTCGGGCTAAGGGGCCATGTTCTAGTGGCATTTCTCCTGACGTTTCGCCTGCATCTATGGCAAGCATCCTCAGAGGTAGTGAGGTCACTACCTCTGAGGATGCTTGCCATAGATGCAGGCGAAACGTCAGGAGAAATGCCTCTAGAACATGGCCCTATAGCCCGAAAAAACCCACAAGAACCTAATATTATTTCTAGTGCCCACTTTTTGCTTGATATTCAAACAGTGCTTCTTGTAAGTCAGAGCATGATCCAGAGTAACTCCCAGGTATTAGGATGTGCTGCAATGCTTCAGTGGGAGGAAGATGAAGCAAATTCAATGATATGCACTCCAATCTTGTTGCTCTTGGGGAATATATAGAGATTGAAGGAAGATGTCATTTTTGAAGAAGAGAACAGGAGGAGAAATCAATCACACAGATCAGCATTCCCAACCTGGTATAATCCAGATGTGTCAAACCACTTCCACCACTTCAGGAATATGTTTGTTAGGAAGGAGAATCAGCCAGTGTGACTGGGAAAGCTGTGGCCGGGGATAGGCAGGGAGAGAGATCATGTAGCTAGATCACTCTGAACTGCAACAGCTAATGGCTTCTATGACAGCAGAGCAATAAATCCACTCTAGGTTTTCATTTGAACTTTATTGTTATTGCTACCATCCTTATTTTATATTTGTTTGTACATTGCTTCCCCCCTCAACGCTAAGATTTAAAGCACCTCTAAGATGCTGAATCCCACTCCTTAAAAAGGGTTCAGCAACTCGGATAGTTTCCAGACACAATTTGAAATTAGGCTGATGGCCAAAAGTTGCTCATCTCAGGGTTTAGAGACAAGCACAATGAAATATCCTTGGAAACCAAGGTTGTCTTGTTTATAATTTAAATGTGTTAACCTGTTTTGATACAGAAAAGGAGGGAAACTGCTTTTTGGGTTGCATTTACATCCTGTTCTTTTTTCACTCCCCAACAAATGGCAGCATTGGCAATGATTTTGGCAGTGTTCTGAAGGAAAAGGTTCATTGTTCTGTTTATTGCCAAAGACTTTCATGGCCGGAATCACTGGGTTGTTGTGAGTTTTCCAGGCTGTATGGAGCCCCTGGTGGCGCAGTGGGTTAAACCGGTGAGCTGCTGAATTTGCTGACCAAAAGATAGGTGGTTCAAATCCAGGGAGCGGGGTGAGCTCCCACTCTTAGCACCAGCTTCGAAAACATGCAAATGTGAGTAGATCAATAGGTACCACTCCAGCATGAAGGTAAGGGCGCTCCATGCAGTCACGCCAGCCACATGACCTAGGAGGTATCTATGGACAACGCTGGCACTTCAGCTTAGAAATGGTGATGAGCAGACATGACTAGACTTAATGTCAGGGGAAAACCTTTATTTATTTATTTATTTATTTATTTATTTATTAATGCACTTGTATACCGCTAATATCTCAGCCTAAAACGGCGACTCATTGCGGTTTACAACACTTAAAAACAACAATATTCAATTTAAAATCATAAAACACATATACAGTACACAGTATCGGGCCACCAATACAGACCAATGCATCTCTTAGTTAAAATCATAATCCAATTTCGTCGTCTATGATTGCCAGTCCTTGATCATCAACTCCATCGCACCGGATTAACCGAATGCTTGTTCAAACATCCATGTCTTCAGTTTTTTCCGAAATACCATCAGCGAGGAAGCTGATCTTATCTCTATGGGGAGGGCATTCCAAAGCCGAGGGGCCACCACAGAAAAGGCCCTGTCTCTCGTTCCCTTTACCTTTTCCTATGGCCATGTTCCAGAAGCATTCTCTCCTGATGTTTCACCTGTCGTTCCTCTGAGGATGCCTGCCATAGATGCAGGTGAAACATCAGGAGAGATTGCTTCTGGAACATGGCTATACAGCCCGGAAAACTCACAGCCACCCAGTTCATTGTTCTGTTCTATTACTGGTCCCCATTTAGATTAATAGCAGGGAAGACTATGCGATGTTCACAATGGACAAAAGGTAGGGTCATTTACATCCCAGAAGCATACGCACATACATTTAATGTCTGTGCCAGAAGGAAGATGGTAGATGTAACTCTGTCCTATACAATGCCATAAGATTGGGCATCCATTGAACCCTAACCATTATTTAAAGCCATCCTAAAGTCATTGCCAGCTTTCAGTTTTAGGGGACCTGAGGACATGGTGTAAGAGTCTCTTCCTTTGGCCACCATGTCTGAGGTTGTTGGAGAGAACTCCCAGATCTTTAATGATTTTATCAGTGGGGGTAATTACCTGACTGCATGATAAGCAATATGTACTGCACTTTTGCACAATGATTAAAGGTACAGGAGTATGCAGTTTAAAATTTAACAGCCCTGTCACTTCTGCCTCTTCAATTACTTGGGGTCCTTGGTGGAGCAATGAGTTAAATCCTTGTGCTGGCAGGACTGCTGACCGAAAGATTGGTGGTTTGAACCCAGGGAGCAGGGTGAGCTCCCATCTGTCAGCTCCAGCTTGTCATGCAGGGACATGAGAGAAGCCTCCCACAAAATGGTAACACATCTGGGTGTCCCCTGAGTGGGGGTTGTGTGATTGACTCAGAAGTGATTACACAGGGCATCCCCTTCTAGGACTATTTCTACACAGTCCATCAATACTGCATCACTGCAGTGGCCAAGAGCAAGGCCCAGCTCAGGTACTGGTTTCTCCAGAGAGTGGGGTGAGCTCCTATCTGTCAGCTCCAGCTTCTCATGCTGGGACATGAGAGAAGACTCCCACAGGATGGTAACATCTGGTAACACGACACCCACAGGATGGTAACATCTGGTAACACATCTGGTTGTCCCCTGAGTGGGGGTGGGTGATTGACTCAGAAGTGATTACACAGGGCATCCCCTGTGTGATCACTTCTGAGTCAAATTGTGTCTGGACTTCTACTACTTCAACATAGTCCATCGATATTGCGTCACTGGTGGCCAAGAGCAAGGCTTGGCTCAGGTACCGGTTTCTCTCTCCAGAGAGCAGGGTGAGCTCCCATCTGTCAGCTCCAGCTTCTCATGTGGGGACTTGAGAGAAGCCTCCCACAGGATAGTAACACATCTGGGCATCCCCTGGGCAACATCCTTGCAGATGGCCAATTCTCCCACACCAGAAGTGACTTGCAGTTTCTCAAGTCGCTGCTGACATGAGAAAAAAAAAATACCTGGGGCACATGAAATGTGAAGGTGAGGCAAATAGAAAAGTTATTCAATTTCTTTTTCTTCTTCTTTTAGTGTTCTCTCAGAAGAGAATCTCCTTGCAGTGAATGCAAGTAGGTGAAAGCACAGTAGCTCCTGGGACTGATAGTTCACCCTTCCGGGATTAAGCATGGGCCTTATGGGGCGGTGATATCCAGTGACGACAGCCCTGGCATTGCAGAACCCTGGTTAGGCTGGAGACAACTGGTTGGCTTGATTCCAGGAGATTGTGATGCTGTGGCGATGGGGTTCTAATGCTGCCTTCTTGTCTCTTGTTCCAGGGATGAGGCTTTGAGAAGGAGCGGAGGAGAGGGAGCGTGTGACTCAGCAGAGGCCTCGGCAGCCCCTGAGAAGAGCTGAACTGGAGCCAAACAGTCCCTCCCCCCACTGCACGGCCTTTTTTTCCTTAACAAAGCATGCTATTTTTAATAACAGAGCTCTATATTCGACCCAGCCACCCAGAGACAGACACCTGTCTTCCAAAAGGGGAAGGTGGTTTGTTCTGGCAGGCCCCTTGCTCTCCTTTGCACCTTTTTTCCGGGGAGCAAGAGTCGTTCCTGCCACAATGCATGATGGGGAAGTGGCATGGTGGCTTTCTGACGCGCTGCAAAAGCTTGGGGGTCTTTCCCCCACCCCACCCTTGGGGTCCCCACATGCCAGCCTGAGACCTCTTTAATTTACGGGCACCTGCACTTGCGCTTTCTGATTTTTTGTACGTTTCTTGCGCTTCGAGTTGTTTTTGGTTACTTCGCTACCAGCACTTTCTATGGGTCTGAGGAGAGGAGGCCCCTAATCTGCCCCTTCCTTCTCCCCTACATGCCATGTCCTCTTAATGTGGCTGCAAGCAGTGGTAGATTGAAGCTGAGAAAGGTGTTCAAGATGGCTGTCACCTAGTTGTTCCTATGGTCTGAGCACCAGAAGGGGATTGAGATGGAGACTCCGTGTCGCCATGTAGGAATGCCTTTGGTGGATGAAATATTTAGCACTGACATAGATATGAACTGAGATATTCCTAAGAAACTGTCCCAGGAAGTTTTTCCTCAAGGCTGTCAATCCAGTGGAAGATTTGTTCAAGACCACTGCTGAAAGCGGAAGACACTGCAAAATATGTGTATCTGATTGGAAGGGAGTAGGTGCTTGGATCCAGATGTTGCTCCTTTCACTCCATGCCCCTGACGTTCATGATTCTTCTGCCCTTGATAGCATCATGTCAGAAGTTGCTTAAGATTTTGGCCCTAGGTTTGGCTCAGTCTCATTTCAAGCTTTCCCCTTCCTCTCAGATTTCCTTTCTGGATCCAGCACCACCTCATCTCTTTGGAGAATACTGTGCCATCCCCTCTCCTCAGACCTCCGGGGCTGGTCTCCTAGGGACCAGCTGCCAACACAATAGACTAGGGTTTGTTCATAAATAAAGATGATTGAATTTCACTCTTTTGGACAGAGTCGGTGATGTCATTTGTTTGCGATCAATGGTTAAAGTTGGGGCTAGATATACGCAAAAGCAAAACAAGCTACCATTTTAAGCCTCAGATGATGACCACCCTTGCAGTATAAAACAAATCATAACTTTCACCATTATTAAATTTTAAGTTGTGTGTGCGTTAGTGTGATGCTGTCTGTGGTGCCTCTTCAATTTGATAGAGCTTCGGTTCCCAGTACATCTTAATCAGGTCCTGATTTAATTTCATCTTTTTGGCTTGCAGTTTTAGTTCTGTTAGAAATGCAACGTGCATATAAGAAAGGCAACACAAGAACAGTAGATCAGACAGAGGAGTAGGAAATGATGGGATGTAGGCTTTGGCAGCAAGGAAAAGCGGCAAAGAACCCCAGCCCTTTCCTCTTGAAGGAGTGGCCCTCCCCATTTCGCACCCACAGATGAGTTTTTGTTCATTTATACAGCCTCAATTTGATCAGAGGGTGAAAGGGGAAAATGTGCAGAGAGGAAGGCACATCAAGCAAACCCTTGAAGTGACTTCCTTCCACCTAGAAACTTATATCCTCAATGTGATAAGCCATGTGGATCCAGACCATGTCTCAGACTCTATCTGTGGAAGACAATTATACTCGGCCACAAATGATAACCAATAGTAGTAGTTATAATAGATCCTTTGTGATACCCAGGCATCTTTTCTTAGGACCCGTCCAGACAGGACCTTTATTATGGTATCTATTGCAATAAAGGAGAGGCTGTCCAGACAACATTTTGTATAGTCCCAAATTAATTTGCTACAAACCAGGAAAACCCTGGTTTGTAGAGAATTAATTTGATAGTGGATTTATTCCCCGCCTTCTTGAAAGGCGCGGGAAAAATCCACTATTTCCGGGTCTGGAAATACAGTCCAGACAGTATTCCCACAATTTACCAAACTAAATAAGCCCGGTAAACTGTGGGAATACCCACTTCCTTCCCCCAAGCCCCCAAACTTCTTAGAAAAGTAATAAAAAATTACGTGGCCTCCATTGCAAGCCTTGGACGGCTCTCCTAGTGCTTAGAAATGATGTACCAGGAGAGTGGAGTGGGGGGAGGAGGGAAGAAAATACACACACACATCCCACTCTCCTGGAACATCATTTCTATGCACTGGGAGAGCCAGCCGAGACTTGTAATGGAGGCCATGTAATTTTTTATTACTTTTCTAAGGGGCCTGGGGGCTTGGGGGAAGGGGGTAGGGCCTCCAGACATTCTCTCTGGCTAGTCCCAAGAGAATGTCTGGACATCCACCCCAGAAAGTGCGCACTTTCTGGTGTCGGTGTGGACAGGCCCCCAGAAAAATCCGCATTTTTCAAACGAGGATTCTCCTGGGATAAAGGCCTGTTTGGATCCGGCCAGAGTGAGTCTGCATAGGAAATACTGTTCAACCACTGACCTTTCGGTCAGCAAGTTCAGCAGCTCACATCATCCTTGCACTGATAGTTGTTGCGTATTAGATTGAAGCTGCATTATAGTGTCAGTGTAGACGAGGCCCTGGAAATTCCTACAGAAAACACATATCAATTATAATCAAATTGAATAATCAAATTTGCAAAAGTCAAAACGTGTAAGGATGAATGCAATAATGGAGGCTATGCCTATATCAAACGATTCCACTTGTGTAAGCCTTTCACAGCTACGAACCAAAATACCTTCACTAAATAGAAAATGGCCAAAATAGAAACTCTTCCTGTGCAAGGGATCTTATACACAGAATGACCCAGTAGAATGCTGTCTGCTGTCAGGTATGTTAATCTGCTGAGAGTTTACACTGTTTTCTGATACCATCATGTGGCAACTCATCAAATTGCACTCATGAGTTAGAAAAGAGAAGCTGGAAAGTGATTGGTTAGAAAGAAAAAGCCCATCACAACATGTTATCATCAGATACTTTAAAAGCTACTGGAGGGACAAGAGGATTGATCCTGTTTCTAGCTAAAGGTTCAGGCTTCCTTCTAAGACACTAGTTGCTAGAAATACTCAATTGTATACTAATCAGTTGAACAGTGTGAAATGCTGCAAGCTAAAAAAATGTCCTTGCAATGAATCATAGAATCATAGATTTGGAAGAGACCTCATGGGCCATCCAGTCCAACCCCCTGCCAAGAAGCAGGAATATTGCATTCAAATCACCTCTGACAGATGGCCATCCAGCCTCTGTTTAAAAGCTTCCAAAGAAGGAGCCGCTACCACACTCCCAAGCAGAGAGTTACACTGCTGAACAGCTCTTACAGTCAGGAAGTTCTTCCTAATGTTCAAATGGAATCTCCTTTCTTGTAGTTTGAAGCCATTGCTCTGCGTCCTGCTCTCCGGGGCAGCAGAAAACAAGTTCGCTCCCTCCTCCCTATGACTTCCTCTCACATATTTATACAAGACTATCATGTCTCCTCTCAGTCTTTTCTCCTTCAGGCTAAACTTGCCCAGCTCTTTAAGCCACTCCTCATAGGGCTTGTTCTGCAGACCCTTGATCATTTTAGTCGCCCTCCTCTAGACACATTCCAGCTTGTCAATATCTCTCTTCAATTGTGATGCCCAGAATTGGACACAATATTCTAGGTGTGGTCTAACTAAGGCAGAATGGGGGGGGGGGGCATGACTTCCCTGGATCTAGACACTAGACTCCTACTGATGCAGGCCAAAATCCCATTGGCTTTTTTTGCCGCTGCATCACATTGTTGGCTCATGTTTAACTTGTCGTCCACGAGATCTTTTTCACACTACTGCTCTCGAGCCAGGCATTGTCCCCCATTCTGTATCTTTGCATTTCGTTTTTTCTGCCTAAGTGGAGTATCTTGCATTTGTCACTGTTGAACTTCATTTTGTTAGTTTTGGGCCATCTCTCTAATCTGTTAAGATCGTTTTGAATGCTGCTCCTGTCTTCTGGATTATTGGCTATCCCTCCCAATGCTCTTAAATTATCTGTTGTTATTATTATTAGAAGTAGCAGCAGGAAGAAGGGAGATTTAAATTCCCCCTCCCAGTGATGGAGCTAACTCAATTCAGAGCAATTAAAGGATAATTCAGCACTGTTTATACCACCCGAAGCCACACTGGGCAGCTAACAAAATAGATTGAACATAAACTCAGTATTAGAATGGTCTTTCGCTGAACAGAAGAGATTTCGTAGAAAGACTTTGTCCCCTGGGAAGGTCATTGCTGGTTAATGTAACACCATATTAAGTGCTGCGGGGAATGTGTTTTAATTCCACTTCCTGCTAATTGCAGAACTGCAATGTTTCAATGGCACTTGAGGATTCTGCTGGGAAACAAGCTCTGAACCTGTATGTGTGTGTCTGGTGTCCAGACTGCCAAAGGATTTCTCTTGCACGCTACTGGATAAATATTTGTCTTAAACACCACCCCTCAAAAGTCAATTGAATTGCCCATTCATGGCATCATCTGCAGACATTAAAAGAACATTAACATTCCTTTGGTCAGATCTGAGACTGATCAGGCTTCACAATGCCAGCAAAACCGCAGTGCCAGATTCCTTGGCAGTAAGCAAGGCAGAGAAAACGTGCCATTATAACACAAAAAGAAAACAATGTGGTTAACTGACAACCTCACAATTCCAGTTAAAATCTACCTTTGTTTATTAACTAATACAACTATGAATTATCAGTGGTGAAGCCGAAGTTCCCACCAAGAAGCAGGCTGAGGATCTGGTGCTCAGTACCTCCTGCTACTTTGCCAACTAGATTTTATCTGTATGTTGTTGGAATCTGGCAGCCTCTCATACCCAAATTCCCTCAAGGGATTGAATCTTTGGGCCCTTCCACATAGCCCTATATCCCAGAATATCAAGGCAAAAAATCCCACAATATCTGCTTTGAACTGGGTTGAAAGCAGATAACCCAGTTCAAAGTTATCCAAACTTTGAATCCAAACTAAAAGTTTGGATAACTTTGAATCCAAACTCAGATAATGTGGGATTTTCTGTCTTGAGTCACCTGAGGGCTGTGAAGGGCGGTATACAAATACAGTAGATAGATAGATAGATAGATAGATAGATAGATAGATAGATAGATAGATAGATAGATATTCTGGGATATAGGGCTGTGTGGAAGGGCCCTCTGTTTACAAGAGTTGGGTTTTCTGGCCAGCATTATCCCCTTGATGGATTTCTTTCTTGGTAAGTGGGCAGCTGGTAAAGCCCCTTGAATGCACACACACGCAGAATATTTTGTTTACATTTTTCCTACATGTTCTAGACTACATCTATACCAGTGTTTCTCAACCTTCCTAATGCCATGACCCCTTCATACAGTTCCTCATGTTGTGGTGACCCCTAACCATAGCATTATTTTCACTGCTACTTCATAACGGTAATTTTGCTACTGTTATGAATCATAATGTAAATATCTGATATGCAGGATGCATTTTCATTCACTGGACCAAATTTGGCACAAATACCTGATACACCCAAATTTGAATACTGGTGGGGTTGGAGGGGGATTGATTTTGTCATTTGGGAGTTGTCGTTGCTGGGATTTAGAGTTCACTTACAATCAAAGAGTGTTAAAGCGCTGAGCTGCTGAGCCTGTTGACCGAAAGGTCGCAGGTTCAATTCCCGGGAGTGGCGTGAGCTTCCGCTGTCAGCCCTAGATTCTGCCAACCTAGCAGTTCAAAAATATGCAAATGTGAGTAGATCAATAGGTACTGCTCCGGCGGGAAGGTAACGGCACTCCATGCAGTCATGCTGGCCACATGACCTTGGAGGTGTCTATGGACAACACCAGCTCTTTGGCTTAGAAATGGAGATGAGCACCACACCCCAGAGTCAGACATGACTGGACTTAATGTCAGGGGACAACCTTTACCTACAATCAAAAAGCATTCTGAACACCACCAATGATAGAATTGAATGAAACTTGGCACACAGAACTCTCATGATCAACAGAAAATACTGGAAGGCTTTGGTGGGCATTGACCTTGAGTTTTGGAGTTGTAGTTCACCTACATTCAGAGAGCACTGTGGACTCAAACAATGATGGATTTGGACCAAATTTGGCATGAATACTGAATATAGCCAAATGTGAACACTAATGGAGTTTGGCGAAAATAGACTTTGACATTTGGGAGTTGTTGGGATTTATATTTCACCTACAATTAAAGAGCATTCTGCACACCACCAACAATAGAATTAGCCCAAACTTCCCACACAGAATACCTATGGCCAACAAAAAATAATGTGTTTTCTGATGGTCTTTGGCAACCCCTTGTAACTCCTCCAAGTGTCCCAGCCCCCAGGTTGAGAAATGCTGATCTATACAAATGTGTTTCCCCACTCCAGTGCATCTTAGTTGTTTTAAATACAAAATACATATGCATGGGTGTCAAACTAAATTTGTGAAGGGAAGGAGTTGTTATGCACTTCAGAAAAGAGAGATGACAGTTCGCTGCTAAGGACCACCCACCGGAATGCCTTTTCTCACCATGGCAAGCTCCTAAACAGAACAGATACAATCATGGACCCAATCACATGTTGTTTTGAGCCAAAATAATGGGTTCTTAGCACTCTTTTGGTTAAAATCACAATTTCTTCCCATGATTACAGACCTGCCCAACTTCACAATTGTTCTGTAGTTTTGTGATGGGGAAGGGGGTGTGCGATTGACACAAGTGATGACCAGAAAAAAAAAACCCAGAAGTCGTGATTCCCACTTAATTTACGGTGGCTGCCCATAAAAACTGTAATAAGTGCAATAAGGTGGCATGTAAGCTCCTGGCCATCACAGGTGCCCCATTCTGACATCAGAAACCCTTTTTAGTTTTGCGTAGGAGAGAAGAGGCCGGATTTCTATTAGCATCTGTTACTGGGTTCCTGGATTAATACAGTTTAGCAGGAGGTTGTTTTTCTTCTTTTCTTTTCCAGAGATTTTTCCTTTCCCTCCCATGGGAGAAGGGACTTCTAGATGAAGATACATACACCAGGTGCAGGTGTGAGAGAAAGAGCGTTGGACGTGGGAGATCCTTTTCTAAAACCATTTTTATTCAAAACATATCTTAAATTAGCAAATCCATCATATACATGAAGGCCCCTCCTTTTGCACGCAATATAGCAACTGTCATAAATCATATTCAACCAAACTTAGAAAAACAATCCTTCATAAGATTGTGTTGCATATTCTTATCCCACTTACACTACAGTTGGTTATCTGACTCTTTGTGTGTCCTTTGGGAATCTGGAAGTCTAACAAGAGCACAGTTATGGGGGAAAATGAGGGGTTTTTGCCCCAATCAGAATTCTTCCTCCTAAATGAATTTTTTCTTCACTTCTCAGATTCTTACCGTTGCAGAAACTGAGATAATGTCAGTCATTCTCATCTAGAATTCTTCCATATGCTGAGTTTCAATTCCTTGGTAGTTTTGTCCCTTTTCTTTGTATGCCTAAACTATATTGAAACTATGTATTGTTGAAGACTTTCATGGCCAAAATCACTGGGTTGCTGTGAGTTTTCAGGGCTGTATGGCCATGGTCCAGAAGCATTCTCTCCTGACATTTCGCCTGCATCTATGGTAGGCATCCTCAGAGGTTGTGAGGTCTGTTGGAAACTAGGCCTTAGTTTTTCCAATTTCCATGTCTTGGAACCGTTTCTCCCCATAAAGATGTTCAATGTATTGTTGAAGGCTTTCATGGCCTGAATCTCTGGGTTGTTGTGAGTTATCTGGGCTGTATGGCCATGTTTCAGAAGCATTCTCTCCTGACGTTTCACCTGCATCTATGGTAGGCATCCTCAGAGGTTGTGAGGTCTGTTGGAAACTAGACCTTAGTTTTTCCAATTTCCATATCTTGGAACAGTTTTTCCCCATAAAGATGTTCAATGTATTGTTGAAGACTTTCATGGCCTGAATCACTGGGTTGTTGTGAGTTATCTGGGCTGTATGGCAATGTTTCAGAAGCATTCTCTCCTGATGTTTCACCTGCATCTCAAAGTTTTAAGTTACTTTACAATGCAAGAATTTTGAGGACTAAAATAAAATTTAACGGGGATGGGGGGGAATGGCTTGACATCCTTATCCAGTTTATGATCCTGTTTCCCTAGACATGGTGAGATAAACAACACATTCCCTACCTTTCCAGTCACAGGATTATATTGCTCACACCTTACAGTGTCATGTTTATAACCTCCCATCCTTAAAATATCTCAAAGTTGTTGCACCTTTTTGCAAGCAGGTCATCTAACTATTTTACCTTCCATGGTTTTCGCAAACCTACATAATGCTGTCTGAAAGCACATCTAATCCTAATATCATCATAAACTCTTGAAACATGTGGAAGTGAACCTTTATCTTCATAGCTGTTGTTACTCAAGACAACCCCTTCATTGCAACAGTTCTCTTTGTTGATAGACAAAGAGATAGAGTTCTGCAAGTCTAAATTAGGGCTTTTGAAACTTTTTCCACTCATGACCCCTTTTGATCTGAAAAATGTTTATGTGACTTCAGGTATACAAATATATATAATAGGTATAAAAATCAAAACATTTAAAGAAAATAAGTCAGCATTTACAAGACTTGCTAAACAGATTGATTTTCCTTTTCGTGGTGCACATCTGAAGCAATTTCTGCAGAGTTCACTGTAAACACTGTAAACGGTGCTAACAGATTCATGTAAATGCGTGGCATTCAGAAATCTTTTACTGTTGCCAAATGTTTCATGATCCCAACACTGAGCTTAGGGGGACCCCATTTAAGGCCAGGACCCAAAGTTTAAGAAGCAGTGATCTAGATTAATCAAACAAAGCTTTAGTTTATATCAACTGCCCTCCTGTTTAGGCATGGGTATGCAATTTGTCTAAACCCTATGCAGTTTTCAGTGTCCAGATTTTGGTGTCCCCCCCCCCCTCCATTTTTCAGAAGCCTTCCGAATTTGAGAAGGAAAAATTCCATTTTTCGATCTGGCAGCACAAAGATCTTTAGTTTAAATCAACTGCCCTCATGTTTTGCCAAGTGCCCAGTAGGTGTGTGCAATTTGGCTAAAACCCATGCAGTTTTTCAGTGTCCAGATTTTGGTACCCCCCCACCCCTCCTCCAATCCGTTTTTCAGGAGCCTTCCGAATTCAAGCAGGAAAAATTCAATTTTTTGATCTGGCAGCCCAAAGTTCCATTTTTTGCTCCAGGAAGATTCAGCCCATGGGTGGCAATGGAAGAACTTCCCAGGCTCCCCTTTCCATCATTTTTAGGGCATCAGTCTGAAGAAACTGCTTTTTCTGGGATAGTTTCTCCTCATATCTTTCAGTAAGACCTGGGTTAAGGCATCAATCACCTTTTCTGGGATCATTTGCCTTCAACACCCTTTTAATGAAGCTGTGTCAAGGCACCCTTTTAAAACACTTATTTAGGTGAGAGCCACACCACCTGAAGGAGTATTAGCCATTTTGTGTGTGTGTGAGTGTGTGTGTGTGTGTGCGCTCCTCATTTTATGGCAGCTACCCCACATTTGAAGCTTGCATCACTGAGAATTTAGATTACCAGCAGACTGGAGCACAATCTGTCTTTCTCAGAAGCCTGCTTGCAACAGAAAAATGGAGACTCAGCTTGACTAAAAGGTACATCATGGATTTCTTCTGCTCTGATTGGCTCAACAAACTGCTTTGAGTCGCCTAAGGGCTGAGAAAAGCGGTATAGAAATAAAATAAATAAATAAAATAAATAAATAAACAAGCAGGGCTCACAGGAAAACCCCCATGCGGGTGTGTGGCTGCCTCTCCACAGTCAACGTGTAGCTAAAACCAAAAGTAACCATGGTCAGCAGCCACACAGTCTGTTGCGGCTGGAAAACAAAACGAAACAGCCAGAGCCCATTTTGAAAAATGGCTCTCTGCAGAGCCCTAGTGTCTAGTTCTAGCTGCAGCTTCCCATTTGGAAAAATTGGTCAAAATCCTACATCAAAAGATATAGCCATGTCAAGGTAGTGTGATGTCATAGTTATGTCTGCCAGTGTTATTGCTTCCCTCCAAAATTACTTTTAAACCTTTTGTCCCCACACAACAAAGGAGTTTCTGGAGCTCTAGAAACTGTGTGGTGAGAGACAATATATCAATCTGGCTCTTTCCCAGGAGTGGGAAATGGTGCAATAGGCAGTAGAGACATGACCCCGTCATGCTCCCTGCCATTGTCTGTTGTACCATGTCCTGCTACTACAAAAGGGCTGACACCACCATTGCTTACCATCTTGTTTTATGGTGATTTGGAGACTCTTCTCATCTGAGGATGTGGGCTGAATAGCTTAAGGGGTAGGTTTTGGTCAGTCATGGTGATGGAGCAATAACTATAAAAGTGTAATAGTGTCCTAAATTGGGCTTGTGACATTCTAATTATTACCAACCGGAATGCCAGTCTTTTTAAAACTAAATCTCCCAGAATCCTCCAAACTGGCATTACAAGCTCTGCTGTTCAGCTATACTGGATGTGATCTGTGCAAGACATCCATTGTGATACTCAAGAGCAGTCACAGCTCATAAATACAGGAGCCAGTGGAAGTTGCTGACTTTTATTGCCATGTTACAGGTCCTCTTAAGGTGCTGAAACAAATATAGTTTTCTTCTGGGACTTCCTGCTTCGTCGCACGGTGACAGTGACAGGACATGGATCCAGAGGCATGCCTGGCACTGGAGGCATTGTGCTGAACTGCAAGAAGGAAAAGCCAGCTCTTGTTATTAGGGAGAAAATGCAAAGTAGCAACCTGGAGACTTGATAAGTTGCAGAAAACTTAAACGGGTGCTTTACATTGCAAATATAGAAGGGGTAGATGTAAACCATGGGTGAGCTTGCCTCTTGAAGTGCTGTCACTGATAATTTTGGCCAACCCGATTCTCCCAAAGAAGTTATGGTTAGAGTTCTGGAGTAGAGCTATCTAGCGAGCCTTGGATTCAAATCCCAATGAAGTTCTCATCATACTGGGCTAAAATTAGTGGTATGTGCTGATTTTAGCCCAGGTTACCTACGGAGCTGTCCAGCTCCCATCACATGATGTTGTGCTGGCTTCATGGCCAAAGGAGGGTGGAGCCGGCATATGCTGTCTGCAGGGCAACATGGGAGAACTTTCCCCTATATGATCTTCCTCCCTTGAATCTGGGTGGTGCGGGGCAACAGATTCCCCACACCCTGCGGTGGAGCAGAGCGCTGCCGCCGCTGACCACCAAACATATGATGAGGTGGTGGATGACCTCATCTGTCTCAATATACTTCACAGGGTTATTATGAGGATCTTGCATGCTGTTTTGGGAGCCAGAGAAATGGATGCCTAAAGAGGCAGATGGATGAATGCATATTTTGCTTCTACTCTTATACTGGAAGGAAAAACTTCATAAGGAAATATTTGCAATTCCAATTAAACAGCAAATCATGGAGTTTGCACATTTTGAATTTACTAGTGTTATTAGAGTCCAATGGTTTATAAGCACTAATGCAGTTTATAAAAGGGAATGAAATTATCAAATTTGGCACAAAAATAGCCAGTAGAGTTATTTGCATCAATCACCTTTAGATTATCTTGCATATAAAATGATAATGTGTACATTAAAAAAAAGACCCAAGACATACACATTTGGAAGGACAGGTATGACATTTGGAGAACATGGAAAACCTTTTCAGCTTGTGATAAATTTAATTTATGCTGAGTTACAGCTTTTGCATTGATCTATAGTTGCACAATGAGCCCCCAGTGGCACAGTGGGTTAAACGGCTGAGCTGCTGAACTGGTTGACTGAAAGATCACAGGTTCGAATCCAGGAAGCGGCGTGAGCTCTCGCTGTTAGACCCAGCTTCTGCCAACCCAGCAGTTAAAAAACATGCAAATTGTGAGTAGATCAATAGGTGCCTCTCCAGCGGAAAGGAACGGTGCTCCATGAAGTCATGTCAGCCACATGACCTTGGAGGTGTCTATGGACAATACCAGCTCTCCAGTTTAGAAATGGAGAAGAGCACCAACCCACAGAGTCGGACACGACTGGACTTAATGTCAGGGGAAAACCTTTACCTCTACTATAGTTGAAACTTTCTTTTAGGATCAGTATTCTAGAAATAAACTCTAAATGATCCATCTGTAACATGTATATTCTGGGAAACCTAATCTCTGCTGTGTGAGAGAGTGTGTTTGGCGTACCGGATTAGAACCTAGGAGAGATCCCAATTAAAGTCTTCACTGAGGGTCTGTCCAGACATTACCTTTAACCTAGGAGCTCCCGCAGCAAACTGGAGGGTGGCCAAAAGCCATTCCCTGTAAACACGGGATCAATCACTATATACGGCAAAAACCACAAGATTTTCACGTGTGGGAATATCCCGGTTCTAAGCCAAAAATCCGCATCTTTGAATGTATGTATGTCCCTCCACTCAGAAATCATACGAATTTTTTTATCTGGGTTTGTTCCTAAAAAGAAGGTGACAGTTGAGTAGAAGGCAAAAACTTTGTGTGCCAGAAACTTCATGAAATATGTGGAGGGCACATTTTTTCTGGCCAGGACAAAGTTGTGGCCCCTAGTCAACGTTGTACATCTTTTCACAGTAAGAGCAATCAGGAACAGACATGTATAACCCAGAATAACACCCTATCTGCGCAGATGGCTCTGAAGTTTATACAACCCGGGAACAGAACTTATATAATGATTTGCATCTTTAAAAACCGCTGAAATTTCCGACAGAAGTCCCAAGGTGTCCATCTTGCGGGCTGCAAGTGTAGATGAAGGAGGTAGAAATCCCAGGACCAACAGACTTACCTCACATTATCCTTGTGATGATAAAGAGAATGAAGAACACATGAGGTTGCTGAAGGAAATGTGAAATATTGAAAACAAATAGTAAATAAAGTACCCCTAAGCCCTAAAATGATCCTAAATACACTAAAAGCATCAGGTCCTCTTTGATCTTGACGGCTAAGTGAGGTCAGCTCTACCAGCACTTCAGTGGAGACCAGCAATGAATACTAGACACTGTAGCGTATATTTCAGAAGAAACTGGCAAAATACAACCTCTATCTCAATATTCCTTGCCTAATAAAACCATATGAAATTCATGGGTAACTGGAAGGCACATCATGCATTCCCAGGTTGGTGCTTACCGTATAAGGTGCACTCCACTTCCCAGCACCTGCCACATTGAGAGCCCTCACCCGGATCACGTACTTAGTGTCAGGAATCAGGTTCTCCAGGTGCTCTTCAGTCCGTGAGCAAAACCAGTGGATATTCTTGCCTTGGCCATCCAGTCGGGCCTCCTGCAGTTCAAGCTCATAGAAGGAAATAAGCTCGCGGTTTTGTGGTCCTGTCCAAGAGATCTGCAAGGAAAAGATGGTTAGCATCATGCCAAAAGGCCACAGAGGAAATATACTGACTTACTTCGTTAACAAAACTGTTTCTCTCTGGAAAATTAATGTAAAATGATTATTCTCACAACAAGGACCTAAGAGCACAGCAGGAATGAATGAATAGACAGATATGATGCAGAGCCTGGGAAAAGGAACTGCTTTGGACTACATCTTTGACAATCCTCAACTTTGTAGTCTAAACCAATAGCTTTCTATGACCTAAGAGGGTGAAATACTAACAAGGAACTTCTATCACATTATGATATTACAGAACATCAATGCTCTAGTGAAGTCGGGTTTGTAAGGACAAAAAGGATGGGGCTTTTTTATTGGAACTAATGGTTTTTTTTTTCATGTCAGGAGCGACTTGAGAAACTGCAAGTCACTTCTGGTATGACAGAATTGACCATCTGCAAAGACGCCCTGATGTTTTACCATCCTGTGGGAGGCTTCTCTCGTATCCCTGCATGAGAAGCTTGAGCTGACAAACGGGAGCTCATCCTGCTCCCCAGATTCAAACCACCAACCATTCAGTCAGCAGTGTGAAGCCAGTGCTTCTCAACCTGTGGGTCCCAAGATGTTTTGGCCTTCAACTCCCAGAAATCCTAACAGCTGGTAAACTGGCTGGTATTTCTGGGAGTTGTAGGCCAAAACACCTGGGGACTTACAGGTTGAGAACCACTGGTTTAAGCCATTGTGCCACAAATGGTGATATCATATTCTTTCTTCATCAGGCTCCCCTCTTCCATTGAAATTACATGTAGACATCTCAGCAGGCTTCTAAAATCATGAAAACAATGTAATACCCATTTTGCAGTAGCTTGACTTAAAATCCATTACATTTACAAAAGATATCTTCCTGCTGCGTATGGGAATGCCAGAAATGGTATTTGCATCAGCACATCTGCTTGAAATTTCTGACTGCCTCTCAGCTGGCCTCTCAGCCAAGGAGAGGGTTGTTTCTGAGACTCCAAGTGGGGAGAGGAGAGCAGGCATGCTCAGCACATGGCAGCATGGTGCACATGTCTGAATGAAGAGAGTGTGCAGGGCTGGAGGGAAACTCATGCCAGCGAGTTCCCTTCAAGGATTGGGGGTTCTGTGTGGGAAGTTTGGCCCAATTATATCACTGGTGGGGTTGAGAATGCTCTTTGATTGTAGGTGAACTGTAAATCCCAGCAACTACAACTCCCAAATGTCAAGGTCTAGTTTTCCCAAACTCCACATTTGGGTATTCGTGCCAAGTTTGGTCCAGATCTATCATTGTTTGAGTCCACTGTGCTCTCTGGATATAGGTGAATTACAACTCCAAAACTCAAGGTTAATGCCCACCAAACCCTTCCAGTATTTTCTGTTGGTCATGGGAGTTTTGTGTGCCAAGTTTGGTTCAATTCCATTGTTGGCAGTTCAGAATGCTCTTTGATTGTAGGAACTACAACTCTCGAATGACAAAATCAATCCCCCTCCCCCAACCTCATCAGTATTCAAATTTGGGCGCATCTGGTATTTGTGCCAAATTTCGTCCAGTGATTGAAAATACATCCTGCATATCAGATATTTACATTACGATTCATAAAAGTAACAAAATTATAGTTATGAAGTAGCAACAAAAATAATTTTATGGTTGGGGAAAACCACGGCATGAGAAACTGTATTAAGGAGTCACAGCATTGAGAAACACTTGAGCATTAATACTGTGTTTGGTTCCAGGAGGCCTTGGCATACCAAATAGTGTGGATGAACCTGAATGAGCAATTGGTAAGGCTTGTGCATGTTTGGAGCATTATATCTCCCAGAAAAGCTCAGTCAGCATGCTACCTCGGTCTTCTGGGAGATACTTCCCAAAACTCAAAATTCCCATGCTTTTACTTACTATACCAACCTGAGCATTGAAGCTGCTGCTGGTGTGCTCATGAATGAAGGGCTGTGGTGGCATTTCCACACATACTGGGGATTCTGAGCCACTGTCTGAGACACTTGTCTCCCCATCGCTCATGTTGAGATCCACTGGGACGACTGCGCTGCTGCGGCCGGGCCGAGTCCGAGGTGACTTATGGGCTGGAGTTTTCTCTGGGAGCGTCAATTCAGCCAGCAATGCATCCAACATGTGTGGTGAACTGCTAGCTGAGCGGAGGATGTTGTTTTGGCTCTCAGCGCTGCCGCCCTGGATAGAGCTGGATGTGTCACTGCTGTCACTGCCAAATCCACGATGATCTCTGTATAGCTGGTACTAATTGGAAGAAAAAATGCCATTCATCTATATTCTAGGAGGGTTGGTCTTCCCTTCTTCCCCCTTTCCCTGGGTCCCTTGTTTATAGCTTTTCAAGAGGCATCATACTAACCCAGGACTATAGTTGCCAAAATGCAAGCCAAAGTGGACTCCTGTGCCTTTAATGCTTGCATAGAAAATAGCTTCCTTTGTTTGATTGATTGACCACGGTTCAGTTCTTTGCATTTTCCATTTCCCTTTACTCTCTATCCATCTCCCCCATTTCAGATTCCACTTCCTCTTGGGTTGGGACCCAATTTGCTGTCCCCTTACTAAATTTGGGGTTGTGAAAAATGTATGTAGCTTGCCACCTAGTGGTTGTTTTAGAAATTTACATCTGTTAGCACAGCTAAGCTAGCTAACAAAAGCTACTAGGCATGGGAAATCCATGGTTCTAAAACAGTGGTTCTCAACCTGGGGTTCCCCGATGTTTTTGGCCTTCAACTCCCAGAAATCCTAACAGCTGCTAAACTGGCTCGGATTTCTGGGAGTTGTAGGCCAAAAACATCTGGGGACCCCAGGTTGAGAACCACTGTTATAAATGGTTCTAAAGTACTTGCAAAACTAGGGGTGCTTGTGTTTTGCTTCTAAAGTGTTGCTAAAGTTCTGGTGGTGAACATTTCAGAACTCTAACAAAACTTTCAAAATGTAATTGTTATTTTGTTATTGGCTATTTTTATGACAGAACCAATTAGGAACTGCCATTTATAATGAAATGTTGAAGTAAAGTTCACTACCAGAACTTTAGCAACACTTTAGAAGCAAAGCACCAGCAGTTTTGTAAGTACTTTAGAACCATTTAGAACCATGGATTGCCCATGCTCAACTTGTAGTAGCAAACAGAAACAAATAGAAATTACTATACAGGGATCAATGCAGGGTACTTCAATGATGGATTCTGGCACCAGATTGGCACTTTTGGGATCCCTTCTGACTCTATAATTATATTGTCCCATCTTATAAATGGAAAACTAATCGTTATATGAATCAAAGTGATCAATTCAAAATTCTGATACATATAAGGGCAAAGCAGAACTAAGGGTGTATCTGCACTGAAGAATGAATGTATTTTGACACTACTTTAGGTGCCATGACTCAATGCTTTGGAATCCTGGGATTTCTAGTTTGGTGAGACATCAACACTCTTTGGCAGAGATGGCTAAAGACCTTGTAAAAGTACAATTCCCAGGATTCCATGGCACTGAGCTACGGAAAGTAAAGTAGTGTCAAACTGCATTAATTCTGTAATATAGATTAACTCCAAATCACAAGCAATACATGCGTATATGGGGTATCTTTGCAGAAAGCAGATGAGCATCAGGAAGTACATAATAACAGATTGCAAAAATCAAATAAATGAAATGAACAAACTGAGTAATGTACCAAATGTCATAATATCAGCTATTTTAAAATATGCATCCACAAGAAGACTGCTATCAAATAAATGTAAACAGACAACCCAAGAGAACAGGAGTCTTTGCATCACAGTATTTGAGATTTGACACTTGAGACAACTGCCTCATTTTGCCTCATGGTTGGACAGGCTCTCTAGAGACCTAGGTTATATTTGTCCCATGACTGAAAGCTTTCACACTCTTTGGAGGATGGTACCAACCATTTTCTATTGAGTGTCAGATCATGCCAGTAGGAAGAAGAGATTGGATGAAGTTTGTTGCAGGTGTGATGAAAGTCTTTCTTGCTCTTCTTGCCCAGGTTGCATCTGTTTATCAGATTGGGAGAATTTGATTGTTGGAATTACAGAACAACAACAACAAAGGACAGACTGGCAGAGAGAAAATAAAATAAATAAAATAAAATAAAAGCCACAAAATGGAAAGGCTATCTATCTATCTATCTATCTATCTATCTATCTATCTATCTATCTATATCCCATCACCATTTCTCCAAAGGGATTCAGGGCGGCTTACAGAGGGCACAAAGTCCCTAAAAACAAATACAAAAGTGAACACAATATAAAATACAATAAAATAAAACACATGCACATACAAAAACATCAACTCAGACTCAATCAAGCTGCGATCCTCCAACCAAGGCAGTAAATTACTGGCACCATGGCCAGGCTGTAAACATTGGAATAAAATACTGTAATACTTGAGTATAAGCCTAGTTTTCAGCCCTTCTTTTAGGCTGATAAAGCTCCCCTCGGTTTATATCAAGGTTATTTATTATTTTACTCTGTTATTAGTATTATTTTTATTATTTTATTACATTTATTATTTTACTCTATTTATTATTATTATTACTATCATTATTATTACATTTATATTATTTTCRCCTATTATTATTTTTATTACATTTATTATTTTACTCTTTAATATTTTTTGAAACACAASAAGATKAGTMCACAGCARACAAGATCACTCTGCTGGCTRTTGTATTGGATCACACGTCGGACACTTCCCAAGTGTCTAGGACTGTGTGATGTATCAGCAAATAATGYGTGCAGATCCTAGTAGGATGGCCTTTTGCAGCTGACAGATGGTAATTTTGTCAGCGCCAATTGTGTTCAAGTGCAGGCCAAGGTCTTTAGGCACTGCACCCAGTGTGCCAATCACCTTTACTGGCTTGTGCCAGAGTCTTTGCAGTTCGATCTATAAAACCTCATATTGTGTCAGCTTTTCCAGTTGTTTCTCTTCCATCCTGCTGTCGCCTGGAATTGCAATATCAGCACTCCATACTTGGTTTTTTAATATGAGCGTGAGGTCAGGAGTATTGTGCTCGAAAACTATGTCATCCTGAATTTGGAAGTCCCAGAGTAGTTTGTTACTCATTATTATTATTATTATTATTATTATTATTATTATTATTATTGACATATTATTTATTTATTTACCATATTTGTATACCGCCCTTCTCAGCCCGGAGGTGTCTCAGGGCAGTTCACAATTGGCAACATTTGATGCCTCAACAATTATAAACAAGTAAAACAATAATAAAATACTGTTAAACACATTTAGCATAAAATATAAAAATATAGAAAACCGCACAAAGCCATAAAAACATTGTTGTGTGCATCTCCTTGTCAAAATCATTATTCAATTGCATCGTCAGGTCGTTCCATGATTTTGTATAATTATGCTGGATTAGCGAAGGCCTGCTCAAAAAGCCAGGTTTTAACCTTTCTTCAAAAAGTCAGAAGGGAGGGGGCCAATCTTATATTCTTTATTATTATTATTACTTTTCCATTATTTTACTTTATTATTATATTCATTATTTTACTCTGTTATTACTGTTATTCATTACTCTGTTATTACTGTTATTCTAACCTTCGTCTAACCTGAAGAAGGTTAGAATAATGGTTTAATCAGAGTTGGGCAGTCTTATCGTAAATTACAGTTTTATGTAATTATTCAAAAACATTTAACCCCCTGATGCCCCAATTAATGTAATTTTATTGGTATCTGTTTTTATTTTGAAATTTACCAGTAGCTGCTACATTTGGCTTATACTTGACTCAATACGTTTTCCCGGTTTTTTGTGGTAAAATTAGGTGTCTCGGCTTTTATTCAGGTTGGTTTATACTCGAGTATATATGGTAAGTGCCATCTGCAGTAATGGAGAGAGGGTATGGGATAAAGTGGAGGATGTGCAGCTACTATCAGGCTGTGCTTTTTATCTAATTTTAGTTTGTTAAGTTATAATTTGTATTTATATGTTGGGTTGTACAAATTTTGTTAGTATGGATGTATTGTTGTTGTATTTGGGCATTGAACGTTTGCCTTTTATGTTTGGAATCCGCCCTGAGTCCTTTTGGGGAGATAGAATGGAATATAAATAAAGTTTTTATTATTACTACGTAGGACAACTAGGGGCTAAATATTCTCAAAGGCTTGATTGAAGAGCCATGTCTTCAAGTCTCTATGGAAGGAGGACAGTGTGGGGCCTGTCTAGTCTCCCTGGAGAGGGAGTTCCAAAGCTGGGGCTCCACCACCGAGAAACCCCTCTTCCTTGTCCCCACCAACCGCATGTGTGATGGTGGTGGGACCACACAGCTAGAAGAAGAAGAAGAAGAAGAAGAAGAAGAAGAAGAAGAAGAAGAAGAAGTAGTTTATTTTTCTACCCTGCCTCCATCTCCCCAAAGGGACTCGGGGCGGCTTACATGGGACCCAAGCCCAAGGTAGAATACAATTAAAAACAAAGCAAAAACAATCAAGACAACATAAAACAGTGTAAAACAAAATAACAATAATAGCTAGCAACAACAATAACAGCAGACTAATTTTGGAGGGGGAAGGAAAACCACTACGTGAACTAGTTAAAGGATAAGTGGTTTAGTAAGGTGGATAACAATGTATAACGGCATAGGAAATATCATGGAAACAGAGTAAATTAACAGGATCAGTTAATATAGTATAGGACATCAGATTGAATGACAATTCAAGTCATGATACAGGTCATTTGTCATAGGAGTCGTCAATCGAAAGCACGATGAAACATCCACATCTTTAATTCCTTACGGAATGTGGCTAGGGGGGGTGCCAGCCTAATCTCCCTGGGGAGGGAGTTTCAGAGATGGGGGGCCACCACCGAGAATGCCCTCTCTCTTGTCCCCACCAGTCGTGCCCGAGACAGGGGTGGGAGCGAGAGAAGAGCATCCCTGGAAGATCTTAAGGACTGCATGGGCTCGTAAGGGAGGAGGCGGTTGCGCAGATAGGCAGGTCCTGAACCATTTAGAGCTTTATAGGTGATAATCTGCACCTTGTATTGGGACCAGAAACTTATCGGCAGCCAATGGAGCTGTTTAAACAGGAGGGCTGACCGCTCTCTGTAACTAGCTCCAGTTAACAATCTGGTCGCCGACCTTTGCACCAGCTGTAGTTTCCGAACCGTCTTCAAGTACAGCCCTACGTAGAGTGCATTACAGAAGTCTAATCTTGAGGTAACCAATCTACATGAAAACGCTAGGTGAGGTCATCCAGAATTTTTGAGTTCTGTGTCATCTGTACGCAGAAGACACACAGCTCTAGTACTCATTTCCACCCAAATCCAAGGAAGCTCCCTGGACCAGTGCTCCTCCCTCCAAACCCATGAAATGAATGCTGGCTTACCACCCGCAGAATGCCTTTGTATTAACAGAAACAGGTCAAGCTCAGAAAGCTCACCATTTGCCTATCCCTCATTATGCCACAGTCATCCCCCCACTCCCATTGTGACCAAATAAACTCAACATGGGGAAAGCCTCATCTAAGGTGAAGCTAGGAAAGGGGAGCAAATTAAATCCATGCAGTTGGTTTTTTTTTAAAGACAGACAAACAAAAAAAGATACACATGCCTTAGCTGATACTGGAGGGTAGAACTGAAATGGCATCTCTTCTTTATTAGGCTGCTCCTTCACTGGAATGGGCCCTGAAACTGAGCAGGAAGGCAAACAGACAACAAACAATAACTGTGGCCATAACATCTACCAAGTCCCACCGTTGCTTTCAGTTCACAATACTATATTGCGGTTATAGCATTTCTAGCATAGCCTGAATAACAATACAGGGCATGAGGAGACATCAGCTATTGTCAAAATCATAGACTCATACAATAATAGAGTTGGAAGAGACCATTTTAAGTGGATTTATTCTCTAGTGTGACAAAGTCATTGTGACTCCATCACAGTAGAGAATGAATCCACTTAAAATCCAGTTGCTGCCTCCTGCAGAATTCTGGGGTTTGTAGTTTAGGGAGGAGCCGTTAACAGCCTCCCTAAACTACAAATCCCAGAATTCTGCAGGAGGCAGAAACCAGATTTAAAGTGGATTTATTCTCTAGTGTGATAAAGTAGCATGTTGAACATGCTGTTCCCCTTCAGTCCAACCCCCTTCCATGCAGGAAAAGCACAATCAAAGTATCCCTGACAGATGTCCAACCTGCCTCTGTTTAAAAGCTTCCATGGAAGGAGCTTCCACCACACCCTGTTGCAGAGAGTTCCACTGCTGAGTAGCTCTTATGGTCAAGAAGTTCTTCCTGTTGTTGAGATGGAATCTCCTTTCCTGTTATGTGAACCCATTGCTCCAAGTCCTAGTTTCCAGGGCAGCTCTCTCTCTTCCTTATGGCATCCTTTCACATACAATGGGGGAAAAATATTTAGTCAGATTTTGATTGTACAAATTCTTCCACTTAAAAAGATGAGAGACATCATAGGTAGACCTCAACTATGAGAGATAACATGAGAAAACACATCCAGAAAATCAAATTGTCTGATTTTTAACGAATGTATGGGTGTCTAATTTTTGATAACCTTTCTATGGTCAATTTAATCTAGCCATTCTGAAAGATATGGGGTTTCCTAGAGTGAATACCACTCTAAGAATATCTTGGTCCTGCAATGCAATTCTGTTAATTTTCCAGGAGAAATTGACCATAAAGTTATGCTGGAAGACCTAGATTTTCAAAGAGGTGTTCTCTCGTGTAATTAAAAAAAAAATAGGTAAAAGGTTTTCCCCTGACAATAAGTCCAGTCGTATCCGACTCTGGGGTGGTGGTGCTCATCTCAATTTCTAAGCCAAAGAGCCAGCGTTGTCGGTAGACACCTCCAAGGTCATGTGACCGGCATGACTGCATGAAGCGCTGTTACTTTCCCGCCGGAGTGGTACCTATTGATCTACTCACATTTGCATGGTTTTGAACTGCTAGGTTGGCAGAAGCTGGGAATAACAGAGGGAGCTCACACCACTCCCTGGATTTGAACCTGCGACCTTTCGATCAGCAAGT